TATATATATATATATACGTGTGTGTATGTATATTTGTATATATATGTGTATATATATACATATACATATATACATATATATACACAAATACATATATACATATATATACACATATACATATATACATATATATACACATATATATATATATATATATATACATACATAGATACATATACATATATATACATATATACATATATACATATATACATACATACGCATATATATATACACATATATATATACATATATACATATATATATATATATACATATATATACATATATACACACATATATACATATACATACATACATACACATAAATATATATACACATATATACATATATATATACACATATATACATATATACATACATATATACATATATATACATATATACATACATATATATACATATATATGTCACATATACATATATACACACATATATATCACATATACACATATACACATATACAAATATATATATATATATACATATACACAAATATATATACAAATATATATATATACAAATATATATATATACAATATATATATATATATATATATATATATATATACAGAATTCTGAATGATTGACCGATAAACAGAGGAGGAAATCTAAACATCAACATAGGAAATAGCCATCGGCTCAACTAGACAAGGCCAATGTCAACAGACCAAAAACCCAAAGCGATGCAATAGCTGCAAGCAACAGAACATCCAAGCCGAGCCCTCGATCACGAAGGAACCATCAAAACGTCAACAATCAACGCGCAGACAAGCAAAGAGGAGTAATCTACCCGCAACCACCGAAGAACAAAAATCTCAGCCGCCGATCATAGAGACCCTAATAATAGCCATCCTATGCACACATCTGCGGACCAAATAAACCACAGAACAAAAGGTAGGCAGTAATTGACACTCACCGACATGAACTCTTCCGATGAAGTGAGAAAGGAGACGATGAGAAGGGGGCGGAGGATGGGTGGAGAGGAAGAGAGGGCATATAATAGTGGGAGAGACTATTGAGGCATGTGAGCTGTTTAACGGAGGCGAACGGTTCCGTTAGGGATGGGGACGACGTAACATGAAAGGTCGGATGGGGTTACGGAACGCTGTTTCCCTTTTGCAGTCTTGATTGGGGGATGGCTAATTTGTAATTTCCTGTGCTTGTTTGAGCCATTTCCGGGAGTTTCGTTGTGGTGGGTAGCCTCAAGAACAACTACAACTACATATCAATCTATATCTTGGTGGCTACTACCAAAAACAAGCTGGAACACTGATGATGCATGGGAAAGGAATAGAAAACTGGCGCTCTTTTGATTAGGAAAAGAAGTCTCTCTCTCTCTCTCTCTCTCACTCTCTCTGCATTCCCAGCTACCAACTGAGCAAAAGAATCACCTTTAAATGTCTTGTCTCACATGAAAATGGAGTTACAGAGAGCTATGGTTTGTGTCGCAGACCAGGAAGAGATTGAAATTCCGGACTCTGTTGCCAGCAAACTTCTCACCTACTGGCAACCAAACATAACTTGTTTGACCAACCACCAATATTGCACATTCTACATCCATCCATGTAAGAAAGAAGAGGAGTGAATGAATTTGTTACGATGATCACAGGTATCTTTGTTATTATTACATTCTAAGATAAATTTTTTAATTAGCCAAAATTCACCGATTACAAAAAAAGAAAATTCTCTAGAGGTTCCAAAGCTCCACTCCGACAAGACTCCTGCACATGAAGAGAACCCATTTAAAGCACGCAAAAATGTGAGTTCATGCTTTGGAAGCTAAAGATGGTAATTTTTCATACAAATTGGTATATCATGCTTTGGTATAGCATTATTGGAATCACCAATCAAAAACGGATCTATGATATGTCATCCATCTTGACTCTCCTTGCTACTATAAACATGTGAATCATCACAGACAAATGCAATATGAGAATAATGTTTTAATCTGCAACTCAGTAAAGTTAACTAAATGGTGATGTGTTTGATCATTATGTTCTTCGAAGATGCATTCTTCCTGCTTTCTGTGCTATGCAATTGAAGTTCCCAAATATTCTTAATTAGATGTTCTTCACTTTTTATGCTCTTAATAGTTGACCCTAAACCCATAATAGAAAACATGATTGGACTTCATCCATAAGTGGCAGATCTTTCCATGGTTTTATTCACATTTTGTATATTCAATTATATTCTCACAAGTTGTAAACTACCAAGAAATCGATATGTAAACACTTCACACATGCAACAGTACATGTTGCACCTCCATTCAGTAGAATGACATGAAATGAGACTTTGCTTGAGTTTTTGTTAGGCTTTCGATTTCCTTTTAGTTCATTTAAACTAAACACACATATTGCTCCTTCCAAAGACAAATATGTTAGAAATATTATCAAGGGATATAGAACTTTACTGGATTAGAAAATCTACAGGAGCTCTAAAACAGGTGCGGAAGCTCCCCCCACCGCCATTGCAGACTCCAGAAACTCCAATTTTACCATTTCTTTGTCTCAATACCTATCAAAAGTTAAGAAGATAAGCTTATGAAAGTTAAACAAATATTCAAAATATCATAAAAAAATAAACCTCAACGTTAATAATTGTTCAACCATTAACATTTGACACTCATCTTGAGATACATGAAAACAAGCAATTACTAGCATTTAGGCAGGCCACAGATTGAATATCTAACTCAAATGAAGAAAAAATAGCTGAGCCAATGTTTGATCCATACCCCTAGCAAGGTGACCAGTATGCGAGTTCCACTGCAACCTAGAGGGTGTCCAAGGAGGCAGCCCCACCATGAACATTAACTTTATCCTAGGAAGAACAAACGCAAACAGGGTAGGGCATATAGCAAAGTGACAATGGAACATGATTAAGTGACACAGATGCTGTAAAAGAAGACAAAGGCAAAGTTACAATAGTTGAATTCATAAGAATGAAAATAAAATTTTCAAGACTTACAGAAGGGAGTGAAAGAAGCTTCTGATTGCTAGGGCAACAACCTGCAAAAGAGAGACAGACGTAAATCTGCTTGCATAAGGTAACCAAGAGGATAAAGTTAGATTCAGCAGAAGTATGAAAAACTGCAGCCACAGATACATACAGAGAAAGCTTCATTTATTTCGTAATAATCTACTTGAGAAGCCTCCAAGCCAGTATTTAAAAGAGCTTTTCTAATGGCAAGTGCAGGTGTCGTTGTGAATAACAAAGGAGTCTGTATCAGAAAACTCAACTCAGCCTTTATTATAGGTATATAATGCATCTATATCCGTCAGATGATTTATGTATTGAAAGCAACAAAAATTATGTATCATGCATAAACATGATGAGAAAGTCTTCATAGAACATACATGAGCAGCATCAGCATAGCCTCTGATCCTTGCAATCCCAATTCTAGAGCCTTCTTTCCACTTATAAGACTAGAGCGGCAGCACTATCACTGAATTTTTTTAAAAATTACAAAGATAAGACATCAGATGGTTCAAAATACAAGTTCAAAGATACATTTCAGGTGGTTAAGGACAATGTCATCACTAATGGTGAAGACATGAAAGTAAAGAATTCTAATTAAAAAAAATGTGACTGACATGGCTATCGACAAGCTGACTGTGGTTGGAGCTTAGAAGGATGGGAAAGGAACTCATAATCATTTTTACTGAAGCTTTAGAGTGAGCAAAGGGATAAAATAATAATTTACAACACATAAAATGACAGTCTACAGTGAATCAAAATACTCATAATTTCACTGGTACACTGAACCAAAATACTCATGTCAAGGTATACTGATCTTTAGCAGTCAAAAAGCAGAAGTATGTTGATTGTGTTTTGATCTATGTCATCAAACCTAAATTTCCTTGACATTTTAAGTCTTGGAGTAACATTGTCAAATGACAAGCAAGCATAAGACACACTTCAGATTTCAGCTTTCACAGACCATGTAATGGAGGGTATATATACCAAGTTTTTTTACACCAATTAAACTTTAATAATTATGCTTCAAAATTTATTCCACCTTCCTCTCCAATAGTTGTATACACATGGAATTGAGATCAGAAGCACAATGATGGAACAAAGAGAACTTCTACAAATAAATTCACACAAATTTCCACAAGAAAGTGAGGGAGAATTCATGAGGAAGCACAGTAAAACGAAAACAATTCAAGTTATCAATATCAAGGACTTACAAAAAATATAATCGCATGACAAAAATTTGATCATGAACTGCATTGTGCGCTTTAGGCTATGTTTACATTCCTTTTCTATCTGAATTCTTATCCCCAAGAATGCTATAGAGTCGACGTTAAAGGGGGAGAGGTAAATGAATGCAGTGGTAAAAACATCGATGGAGAGCTAATAAGAGATTATTGGATAGAAATCCACTAGTCTAAAAAGCTTGAGTTATTGGATAGAGATCCAATACCCAATAGGGCATGATCCATTAGGGTTAAGTTGACAAGGGACCTCTATAAATAGGAGAGAACTAATGATTCATAGGCTAGAGCCTTTTTGGGTTACCTCTCCTATTCGCTTCCCCTTCTCCTCCTCCTCATATAGCTGTTAGGAAATTTAGGGGGGCAACATCACATGCACAATGGAAGAACATTAAAATCAAAATCCCCCGATTCCCAAATATGTGTTCATTATTGTGCGAAGATTGGTGTACAAAATCCGCGAAATAGAAAACTGCGTATATCAAAGAATGTATTACCTAAGAAGATCGTATATCCCTGAATCCCTACAAATCTCTAGTAGAGGATGAAGGAAGTCAAGCGCCCTCCTCTCTAACGGTGAGCCACATAGTAGGATCGCGACAATACTCCTCAAAACTCAAAGCCTACTATCTAAGGAGGAGAATAAAAGAGGCACCCCAAAAAGGCTCTAGCCTATGAACCATTGGTTCCCTCCTATTTATAGAGGTCCCCTATCAACTTAACCCTAATGGATTTCCATCTAACTACCCAAGTCTCTTAGATTAATAGATTTCTATCCAATAATCTCCCATTGGCTCTTATTATATCTCATCCATAGGATCTAATAATTCAGGGGCTTATTAGATATCCAATCAGATAGGGGCTCCAACGGATATCTCATATCCAAACCTCTACTCATCGCAATGCCTACCATATGTGTGTGACCCTCTAGGCCCAATATCGAACTGGTTATGAGTCATACTTGTCAGAACTCCTTTTGGCTCAATGAATTATTATCTTCATAATAATTTACTCGACTTATTGACTACGGACGTACTAGGCCACTACGCCACAATCCCCAAACGATACAGGAGAATCCAATCCATTGGACCTATCTGTCCCCAGTTACCGTGTACCTATAGTCCTTCATCCATCTAATATCCCAGAGACCCTATATTGGGCATAGTGCTGTTAGACCCATATGGTTTTAATCGAGTCTTGCTCTAATCAAATTCTCCCGGAGAACTCTTTCTCTCTCAATTCGAATGACCCTAGCTTGAGATTTGTCTAAGCAAGAACACGTGGGATATTCCTCTCATGATACCAAGAGTGGATGATCCTCTATCGATAGTTAATAATCCTCGTAAGGTTGGCTACCACTCCCGATGAACGG